TACTGACCCACAAAATACACCTAGATCTTTTATATCTACTGACCCACAAAATACACCGAGATCTTTTATATCTACTGACCCACAAAATACACCGAGATCTTTTATATCTACTGACCCACAAAATGCACCTAGATCTTTTATTTCTACTGACACAAAATACACCTAGATCTTTTATATCTACTGACTCACAAAATATACATTGACCTTTCATTTCTACTGACACAAAATACACCTAGATCTCTCATTTCTACTGACACAAAATACACCTAGATCTTTTATTTCTACTGACACAAAATACACCAAGATCTTTTATTTCTACTGACACACAAAATACACCTAGATCTTTTATTTCTACTGACTCACAAAATACACCTAGATCTTTTATATCTACTGACCCACAAAATACACCTAGATCTTTTATATCTACTGACCCACAAAATACACCTAGATCTTTTATTTCTACTGACTCACAAAATACACCTAGATCTTTTATATCTACTGACCCACAAAATACACCTAGATCTTTTATATCTACTGACCCACAAAATACACCTAGATCTTTTATATCTACTGACCCACAAAATACACCTAGATCTTTTATATATACTGACCCACAAAATACACCTAGATCTTTTATATATACTGACCCACAAAATATACCTAGATCTTTTATTTCTACTGACCCACAAAATATACATTGACCTTTCATTTCTACTGACACAAAATACACCGAGATCTTTTATTTCTACTGACACAAAATACACCTAGATCTTTTATATCTACTGACCCACAAAATACACCTAGATCTTTCAGACCCACAAAATACACCTAGATCTTTTATTTCTACTGACCCACAAAATATACATTGACCTTTCATTTCTACTGACACAAAATACACCTAGATCTTTTATTTCTACTGACCCACAAAATATACATTGACCTTTCATTTCTACTGACACAAAATACACCTAGATCTTTTATTTCTACTGACTCACAAAATACACCTAGATCTTTTATTTCTACTGACACACAAAATACACCGAGATCTTTTATATCTACTGACCCACAAAATACCCCTAGATCTTTCAGACCCACAAAATACACCTAGATCTTTTATATCTACTGACCCACAAAATACACCGAGATCTTTCAGACCCACAAAATACACCAAGATCTTTTATTTCTACTGACACACAAAATACACCTAGATCTTTTATTTCTACTGACTCACAAAATACACCTAGATCTTTTATATCTACTGACACAAAATACACCTAGATCTTTTATATCTACTGACCCACAAAATACACCTAGATCTTTCAGACCCACAAAATACACCAAGATCTTTTATTTCTACTGACACACAAAATACACCTAGATCTTTTATTTCTACTGACCCACAAAATACACCTAGACATTTCATTTCTACTGACCTACAAAATACCCCTAGACATTTCATTTCTACTGACCCACAAAATACACCTAGATCTTTCATTTCTACTGACCCACAAAATACACCTAGATCTTTTATTTCTACTGACGCACAAAATACACCGAGATCTTTTATTTTTTTGAAATCCCAATATGGTCCATCAGTGTGCTTGAAATTTTTTTGGACAATAAGTGAATTTGGTATCCTGTTAAATAACAATGTAAAAGTGCTAAGCAATTATGCTGAAATATAGCTAGTCTAATCTAGAGTATCTGTACACTGACGTTGATTTATCATCTGATTGCATGCATTAACAAAATAAACTATCATTATACTGTACTTTTCTGCACAGTTACGTTGATCTAAGAATTCTGTTTCTTGAAGATTTTCACATTTAACTGATTTCTAAATTGGAAGTAGAGCAGTTATAATATGTTGCTTCAACCAAATAATAATGTTCAAGATAACATGTTTTAAATATTTATTGAATGTATGTCAACTTAATGAGGTTTTATTTCAATTCTTCCTTGTTCAGAAAAGCAGTTATTTCGTTATAAGTGATACTCAGCATTAACATTTTTTTTCTAAATATTTGCCATTTCAAGTAAAATACTTAAAATTGATAATGTATACTTTTTGGGGGTAAATTAATTTTAATAATGATCTGTTAAAAATATATTAACATTAGTAACCTATGAGTAAGTGTAATTTTGAAGGAAGATAGAAAGAACTCTCAGGTTTATCAAATTAGGATGAACTAGCACCCAATCTAGCTACTTACAACAACCAGGAAGTAACATGGCCTATTTTCAACAGAAAGCATGTTGTCTGAGACTAACTCTGGATACTGTGTTAATATCTTACATAACATCTGTGGCCACCTTACTCTGTTAAAACAGAACAAAATCAGCATTTAACATCAGATCTTAAGAACATTTATGACATTAAGCCAAATTTTCAAAAATAATTTAAATTTTATATCCTGAATGTTCAGCAAAAATCTGATTTTTACAAAATTCTGTTGCCAATGGCAATTCTTCCGAATGTTAGCCACGAAATCATTGTTATAAGAGACAAAAATTAATTTGACCCAAATTACAACAAACTTGACCGAAAACTTTTACTTGACCCATAATACTCCAACAAGCAATTCTAGACTTATTATCCACCAAGGAACTTGAGCAGTTATAAATCTCAGAATATTTCATGGTTATCAGATCCCTGAAGTGTTCAATATTTATCACCCAATAATGAACTTAACCAATCAATAGTTAGTATTCCTTTTAAACTTGACTGATCTTTAAGTGAAGAAGTTAGAAATATGCTTTGCTAATTTCAACTTGGATAGTCTTATGGTGCTTTTTAAGTGAACAACTTCCTTAAACATGATTTGTTCATAACAATCAACTTTCTAATTTCACTATTACTAAAGTTAAAGAAAGTTGTACAATTCCAATTCATTTCACTAATATGTACATTTCCAAACAGAAATTCCAAAATTCAATTGTACAATGGTATAAGGAATATGTACAATTACAATTAATTTTTACTGTATTCTAAGAATATGGAAAATCAGGATTCATTTCATTTATACTCTATTTTCAAAGGAATATAAACAATTTCAATTAATTTCATTATTTTATGGTCTATGGAAGATGTACAACTCTAGCTCATTTCACTTACAATAAAGTCTTATAATGTACAACTGGATTCATTCCTCTATAGCCATTATACAATAGTCAAAGTATAGATTGTACAACTTTAGTTGATCTGATTTCTTGAAACTATGTTATATTTATAGAATTTTGATGGATGTGCCCTAGTGATGTAATCAGGATTTGAATTCTTCAAAATTTTGTCACCAATTTTCATTAATGAGGAAGTGAATCTCTAAGGTCCAATAAAATAGAGAACATTTAGATACATTAACTTTATTGTGTATAAGGAGATATTTAGTGTGGTCTCACGTCATTGTTCGTATTGAATATACAGCAATAACAGTTCAACATATTAACTTAGTTTCTAATATAACATTGTTATCATTGTTGAACATTAGCGTGGGTGAAAGGAGTTATGAGTTGTCACGTGGCATTAGTAATTTTGGATGATTGCAACTAATGCTTAGCCAGATGACAATCAATCTAGTATATTTCAACAGTGTGTTTTGTGGTTTTTGGGAAAGATTTGGCAACTAATTAAATGGTAGATGACAATTCAACTCCCATGTCCAATGTGTTTCCACTGACGTGTTTTAATCATTTGAATACTTCATTGCACGCTATATGATGCTGTAAAATTTATTCAAATTATCAAATGGCTAGGACAAAAGCTACTTAGGGTCTTTTTTTCTTACACCATATCTCAGACTCTGCAGTTTCTCAAGATTGAGTTAAATCATCTGGCTGAAGGTAAGAACAGACAAGGGACAAGGTGCAGTGCAAACAGGAGGTACAGTCCAGACACTCCAAGGACAATTGGCTCACCTACTTCCGACTATATCAACAATCCTGCACTGTACAAAGCACCAGATACCACATCTCATTTATTCCCACCTTAAAAATTAGAGAAACTCAAAGCTACGTAGAATAAATCATTTGGACAATATACTTCACAGCTTACAAACTCTGACACACTGTCAGTTCAAAAAGATTCATGTTAAACTTTAATAGTACAACTGTCAGTAAGTGTTGAAACGTGACCTACTTCTTAGTGAAATGTCAGCTAAGTTGTGTAAGCAGCTTGTGTTTACCAGTAAATAATGCTTACAATAAGCTGATTGCCAACAAAGGAATGGTAGATGATTATCATAACCAAATGCCATAAGAACCGCCAAGTCAAGACCAAACGGCGACTTACAATCTGGTTGTCTTGGACATCTAGTCTTATCAAAGGAAGTAATCATATAAATCTGGCATTATCTCCCTTTCCTCATCAGACTGTGTCAATCGCGAGGGCAATCATCTTAAGATAGGAGAAAAATTAATGAGGGTAGTTGGAGCTCAGACATCTTGAGAATTTCTAGTGTCTGTGAATTCTTGTTAACCAGATTAATACAATGGTTAGAAATTAGCACAATAGTCAGACGCCACAATCAAAGTGATTGAAAAAGTGAACTTTGAACAAGGACATATATTTCAAGAGATTCTTACAATTCAAACCATAAATGGAAAATAAAATAACAAATTCTGCTATGACTTTCAATTTTTGATAACAGAATAGAATCATGTCAAAAATTTCTTTCCATTGTCAAACAAATTGGCAAATGGTCTAAGCCTTAATTCCTTCACAATCCAAAACAGCAAAATCCATCCACAGACATTGATATATTTGAGTTGATCAACACAAGTAACTGGATATAAGATAAACAATAATAGTCTAGAACTTACCAGACAATCTGGATCCATGGCATAGCATAAATCACCTGATGCATTAGTTTCTACCCATAAATGATCACAGTTAATAGCTTGGTCCTGAAATAAAAAAAGGAAATCCATTTAATCAGACTTAAGTTTCGTGATTTTCACCATATGCGACTGATTCTGAGACATTTTATGATGTAGGCATTTTAAAAAATGATTTTGAGTAATCAAAGGTGTGACCACTTTATAAAGTGATGCAGGTGTCTGGATTTGAGTTTTAAACTAAGTTTTCAAAGCAAATATTTCGAAGACAAAATCCCTTTAAATGCAACAAAATTGACATAATCGGCTGAAACTGGTTTCTGTTATTTCTCAATATCTATAATATATCACTGACAAGAAGAGTAATTAATGGTGTTGGCGTTTTGAAGCCCATTAACTCCAACTCTTCATGGAGTGAGATAAAATCAGTCAGCTAATTAACCAATGATTGATTTCTGCCTATTAACACGTTAAAAAACATGTTTACATATCGAGTTGTTACTTTAAATAGCTCAATCGATGTTTCTGTTATTTATAATTTTTTGATTAGTGCATGTCAATATTTCCACAAGAGACTGGATATCCTTGATCTTTTTTTCACTGCGGTTTTATGGTTTGTATTGTATATTGTTTATCGAATAATCTTTGGACTTAAGTTTATACTGTTAGATTACAAAGGAAATTATCAATTCATAATGCTATGAAGTATTAGTATTGACTTATACGAAAATTAAGGTAGATAATAGCAGAGTATATTATAGGTAACAAGACACTGTAATACAAATGAAATTTTGAGTAACAAAATGTTTAGCCAAAATCACTTGAATTCAATTGCATCTAAATTTTTTCCATACGATACTATTTTGACGATATGTACCAGATGTAATAGCTACAGCTGATTGGGTAAATAAACTCTTTCATGAAAGTAGGAAGTGGCATCTATAAGACACTATTATATTCCAGAAGAAATTTAGAGCATTGAATATAAACAAATATGAATTTTCATACAGGAATAATTTCAGATGTTTTTATCAAGCTACTGATTTAGAGAAATATACCACTTCAATGAATGGACGGAATATCATTTTTTAAAATCAAACTTAATTGAACTTCAGAAGAAATTTTGAGGATTGAATATAAACTAATTGAGGTGTTATCCATCTCAATCTCCCAATTCATTTCCGATTTGCAGAAAAATTCAATCAACTATTCAAATACCACTAAATTTTTATTCACATTTCCTCTCTAATTTTGTCAGGTTTTCAATAAAATATAATTAGTATTCCAAAACAGAATGTACGGCACATCTAAAATAGTTCATTCATTAAATTTTTTAAAGATTTAATCAGTTGCGTGCTTAAATAGAATTCATTGGTAGTATTCACAACTCAACTACTCGTTTGCTCACTATAGTACTATTGATGTTCGTTTGATTGAGTCTTTTCAGTTTCTTCCATTGAATAAGAGGCAAAGATGTGATTGAAAATTTGTTTGATTGAAATGAAAGAAGTGGAGTTTAAGATTGGGCTAATAAAGACAAGCATTGTACTAAAAGTTATTTAAATTATGGATGAAGGTAGATATATTATTCATTAGGACAACAAATTCTTGCAGATTCTTTTTACCAGCTGGTTCTCAACCAACCTTATTGTCAATGATATTTACATTCATTTACAGTTAATAATGAGTATAAAATATAACGCCCTGTTACTGATTTCTTAAAGAAAATACCTGAGAAATACCAGATATTTGGGTGAAACTGAACTGACTGGGGCCTTATTCTTGAAAACTGAATTTAGGATGATTTTATTGTTCCAGTCATCTGATTGGTCAATCACTAAAATTGATTTTAAATTAATTTTTATCATCCAATCAGTTTCTGTATAATTTCTTAAAATCTGGATGTTATTTATGTGAAGTTTTGGAGAATAAAAGCCCTGGTTATATTTGAGAAAGTTTTCTAATTTTGTATTATTTTACCTCAGATTGGTATATTATGTCTGTTTTTCTATTTTTATTACCCAAAGCGCTGTATGTATATACCAAGAAACTTTCCAATTCGTCAGTATTTTTACTATCAACATGAATTAATTTCCTCATCATTGTGAAGTTTAATTGAACAGAAGATTGACAAAATATTAGAATTAAATCACACCCTAGGTGATCAAGTTTGGTCAAATTTGAGCAGACTATAGGTACTATCTGGAAATGATGTGAAATGTTTCAGATTCTACTCAGAAATGACATGAAAATTGATAGGAATAGGGATTTATATCCTTCTGCTGGATACTGCATGTGATTTGGCAAATAAAGAAGGGTAACACCATGCAGTGTGCAATATTGTCATAACAGTGCCATTCCATCTGTTTAAAAGGCCTTTAGATCAGCTTGAGATTGTCTAGCTCTCTAAGCAACTGCAACCTTTTTGGTTTTCTTCAGAGAATTATCAAGTTATATTTGAAAAGATTCACATAAAAACAGCAGTTTTCAAATGCTGGAAATTGTATGCCCTATTTCAGTCAAGCTGTCCTACTGGTGGATTTGGTATCACACAGATGAAATCTGTTTATCACAAGGTACAAGTACAATAAGTAAAGTTTGGTGGTGAATATTGTAGTTGCTCTCTCTCTCCAAAAAGATTTTAACCTGTGCACCTGAAATAATTTGACTATAACTTGCAATATTTTTTGTTTCCTTTGTTATTTTATCCACAAAATTCAGAATGATATTGATATAATTGGCCCTGGTTTATTTATGTAGGTTTATATTTAATTTGTACTAATAGATTCTAGAGTTTATATAATAGTATAGAACAGTGGGGTGTAATATTAGATTCATACTCCATCATTGTCTACCTTATATCTACCCTAGTAATAACTACCTTCTCATACTGAGTATTATTCTTCTCTCATTTCATATCAACTCAGAAATTACCAAAATAGACATATTATTGAACAGAAATAGAAGTTGTTTTCATTTTCAGTCTCATCGAACTATTTATGGTTGTGTAATTTCATAAAAGATCATATTACCTTCATATAAATATGGTTATGTAAAAACCAACATGAAACTCGGTATTATGGAAGACATTAAATAACAGTCCATAGAATATAAGCCATCCATAACTCTATATATTTTTAACCTTTTTCTTTATATTAATCACCAGACTTCGCATTCAATGCTACAATTTGCTTCATTTGTCAAATTATTCCATAATTATTGTCCAACAAATCCTTTTCAAATTCTTTTCAATTCAAATCAAATACACTTTTTTTAAGTCTTTGTTCATTTGATGTTAGTTTGGTCTACTGTTTACTGTTGAGTTTGTCTTTTGATTTTCCAATGCAGTTGTACTATGGACCCGAATTAACAATAATGCCTATTTGGATATATATCAAAGATATGAAGTTTTATCCAATGACTTTCAATGCCCCTTATATGGCAGGGCCATCTCATCCCTTAAAAACACCTAATGTCACTCTGCATCTAAGTTGTTCATTCTCATTAGCCCAACCTTTTCATTTAAGACAATTGAAAGCTATTCCATTCATTATGTCTTACTAATTCTCAAAAAAGAACCGGGAGGAATACAGTAATCTTTATGAAACTTTATTTTTAAATTGGGAAAGATGTCTCTTCTGAGTGAGAATTGTCCTAAAATAGCCATGGTGGAAGATTCGAGCTAGAAGTTATTTGTATCAATGACTAGACCATGTCAATTCATTTCATTTTGCTGGTAAGTCAATATAGAAAGAAAACATACCATATGACAATAAAATAAAGAATAATATTGTTTATATCGGAAATCTTTATGATAATAATGGTTCAATTTTATAGTATCAACACCTCCAGTCTACTTGCCAATTATTGAATTCATAATAATACGCTTTAGAAACATACAAAAAAATTAAAGTTTATGTTCAAAAGATATTGTATATTGTCTGATTCTAAGCCAATCATCAGGTAACTAATTCTTTCAAGAGTAACTGACCAAATTACAGCTATGGAGATTTGAATAATGGAAAAAATCATCCATCCATTCGTGGTGGCCACACATTTGAAGATAGTGTCGGAGATTGTAGATCATGCATGGTAAAATTACACCAGACCTTCAGCCAGCATTGTCTTGTTAGTCAGTACAATTCAAATCAACATCCCCGCTTTGTTGAATATCTTGTAATCATGTTTTTATAAAGCAAAACCCCACTGGGGCTTCAAGCAGACTGAAGTCTAATTCAAAAACCCATGCTCTTTAAGAAAACACTGCAAATAAGGTTAAATTAATGCAGATTTACTTAAAGACTGGCTTCATCCAAATTCTCAAGTCAAACAACCTGCAGAATAGTATTAAAGAATAATGTTCAAACCTCAAACAAACACAACCCAAAGCACAGAAGACCAACAGACTCTCTGAAATAATTAATTCATTGTTCCAGGAATGATTTTGACGAGATGTCAGAACCAGGAAGTAGAGACAAAGTAAGTCAAAGATTGACAGGCACTAATGAACTAACATTACATTAGTCTCCAGACTGGCCTATATCCATAATTCAACCATAAACCGTCATCAATCATAGGTTAAAAAATTTAACCTGAAGTCCAGTTTCCAATCACTGATCATTATATTGATTTTATTATAATTTTAATTTTATAATTTTATTATCAATTGTCATAGAATTATAATTGGCGCTTCAAAATTTAAATCTAGGGCATTTTATAAAGTAAACATCATGCGACATTTCTATGGAGTTCAAAGACGCTGGGCAAACAGTTGTCATTCACATACTTTAGCTAAGTCACAGGTTTAAATTTTTAAAGGGCAGAATAGAAGAAAGGCCTATCAGTAGGTATTGAAGATCTTATCTTGATGTTAATCCGTAGTAAATGACCTAGAGTTGTACCCTTTTGTAAAAATAACATTGTCTGAATCTCTTCGGCCTACAGAAATACACAAAGTATCATCAAAATCAGTTGTAAATTGGAGTTCATATAGCATTTATTACCAATTTTGTCATAGCTTTGAAATGTTTAAGCCGAGGTATTTGCAACTTTTCTAACATTAATAAATGGTTTGGAAACATTCAAACTATAAATAGATCACTTACCGACCAATCAACAGTGGATCGTAATTCTCTTCGTTTATAACCATACTCAGCATGGCTAGGATGTAGATAATGTGTTGGAGTGTGAACGTAAGAATTTTTGGCTATTGCTCTCCTGAAAAATACAAGAAACAGTACATTAGTTTCATTCAAAGAACAGTTTAAAACATAATTTTGTCAGTAATAAGTGATAGGACCAATATACCAAATAAATTATGTTAGTTATGTTCATAAATTTCAATGTTGAAGTATATGTCAAGTATGGGTTGTGTTGTCCTGCATACAAATTGTTTCAGCTCGTATGGATGTTATGTTCTAGGTATAAATGTGTCAACTGTTAATGCACTATGATCAATGTGAATACTGGCATTTTGATATGTCAATTTGCATGGTTTTTCGTGTCAATGAAAAGCATTATGTAACATATTGTGGTTCCAGCATTTCATTAAAAGTGGGGCAGGTAATCCAATTGCCTTGTCCAGAAAATCTTGGGTCCTAACTAAAGCAAAAACATGCGGTTTGCATGGTACCATTTTGTTATATCACAGACATCTGATATTATTTCAGATGTAGACACAAGTAGACGCATTAAGTGTCTCTGATCCCACAAACAAGCCATAGAAAATCATGTACCTTTAAAATAGTTAGAAAACAATTTCCCTTTAATCTGCTATAGAGTATGAAATATGTTTTATTTCTATCTGACTGCTAGCCTAATTATTATCTTTCAACATATATTCTATACCAATTATTTCAAAACTTGAGATAAACTTTACAGCCATAATTTTAACACTTGTATATTTATCATTTAATAATCTGAACATATTACTTTCTCTTTTAATCTATCAAAAATTACACCTCGCTTATCTCTTAACTTTAAAGCTAATCTGAGTTTAACAAGATTTTTTTTACCCCATCCAAAGTTAAATAAGGTAACAATCTGATAAAATATATTATGGTTCTCCATCTTTCCTTGTTTTTTTCTTCTATGAGATTGTCTATATAGGGGAATACATTGACATCAAAATAAAAACAAGCAATCTTGACTATAGATGACAGAAAAACTTTAATTAAAGGAATTGTAAAGAGGGTTTCAAAGGCCTTCATAACATGATTAGAAGCCTCTGCAAGGGTGACATATCACACTTACGTTGAGTGGAATTGCAGGAAGCACAGACATCTGACTGAGAATTAGAATAGTGCAATCAATGCGATTACAATCCCTTATATATATTAAATAAAAATAATAAAGCAGAACAAGGTTATCAAGAGCTTAAAACTGCCATCTTCAGACAACTGATCTATTTCAGCCTCTGACCTTACTGGAGTGAACCCTCTCTAAAAGGCATCCTCTATAAACTGGATTCCTCTATCAACCGGTACATTTGAAAAGTCCTGGCCGAATCACTATACAATAAATAGGAAATAAACCCTGGTAAACGGGCTCCCCTCTATACCACAATCTGGCATCAAAATGAAGTCCAAAAAATTAGTCTCTCTAAACCTACAGGTAAACCAGCAACCCCTCCAAACTGGCATTTCATAGTGGACCGACGTCAATATCTTATAGCTATGCTATTCAAATTATCACTTTCCATGCCTTATTTAATATGAATAGTGTAATATAATATAAAATAAAATATTGTTTTTATGCTTAATTTTTTAAAATTAAATATCAAGGATAATCAGCTCTTTATATTGAGGTAATAAAATATAATTATAAAAAAGTGAATGCATGTTTTTTTTTTAGGTCTATGACAAGTTATACATGTTTTAAATTAGCGTAATTAAATACTTCCATAATAAACTTGCATCAAATATGTTATTTATAGCTATTTAATGTATTTGACACATGTTTTTAATATATTTTTCTACTGCCAGTGTTATAAATAACTTGCAGGTCTTTATGGTTTACAGCTGGACCTGCATATAGAGATTAGTGTATTAAATCCAGGTTATTCAACTTGAACTTGAAGTAAAATTATTGAAGAAGCTATGCAGTCTCTTTGAAAGAGATGTTGAGTTAACAGGTCAAGAAAAAGTGGCATCAGATTTTCGTGAGAGTTCTGTATGGTATATATCTACATCCACCGCAATACTTAACATATGAAACAAATTCAATTAGGGTTTTTGAATTTAATTCAAGAGGTTATAGGTTGAAGAATGACATATTTGTGTCTTTAGATTGAAATAAATTTTGGTAAAAATGCCTCATACTCCAACAAGGTGACACGTTAGTGTAAGATTAGGTTTGCTGCTGAATTCCTATTGTTCTCTATATATCACGACTATGTTCTATGTTAATATTGATTTGACCACACCAAGGTGAATTGTACTTTAATATATGTAATTAAATCTATACTTTTTTTAACCTATATATAACCAGGTTTTCTGCACTCTCTGAAAATTGAAAATGCATGATGTGATACATCTCTCAAGGCTCATGCCATTACAAATTTTATTCATGTATCTCTTGTAGCCCTGTATCTGTACCAGTATGGTTTATCTGTAAATCACTATCACTGACTAAATGTTGTACATGTACTTTAGCTTAATGATACAATATTTATTAGACTAATTACACCCTCGTTAGTGTACTATATCTTAATAAGAAACAACAACATGTACTTATTGTACTCTTAAATCATAACTAATTATATACTTCTACCTTTAACACTCAAAATATTGGCTGAAAGTGTTGTGTCACAAGGGTAAGAGTTTGTTGAGATTTTTACTTCTTACTTTTCTTCAAATGTAAAACTATGGCCAAGAAATTAATTTTCAAAAATAAGTGGAACTTTGTGGCTTATGTGCCCAGTAGAGAACCATAGGGAGAAAAGTCTGAGAAACTTGAGCATTCAAAATAAATCCGCCTTTTATTTTTTTTTTTTTTTTAAATATAAGATCTAAAAACTTCTTCGTACCTGTCATATTTAGATTGACATGTCAAAAATATGCAAAAATTGAAATTGAATAGAAAATAATTGTATATTTATATGTTTGTATATAATAATATATATATTATAACATGCCTTCAGTTAATATAGCCCAGATGCAGTGTGTTATATATTTATATCAATCTACCTTCAATTATTTTCAGGTCACATGACTGATTATTTCATTAGTGCATAAACATACCTTCACATTATTGGTTAGAGCTAACAACAGACTAATTGTGAAATGAGAATTTCGCAGATTTGTTACTTTGACACATGATTATGGACATGTTGGTACAGAGATAAATATTGTTTGGATAGTTCATGTTGATTAACATTAGCGAAAAACGCTTGTGTGTCTACAGATGAAAATACAAACAGCAAGGAAAATGAAATGAAATGAATGGAGTTTTATGTCCTACTCTTCTGCACACAAACGTCAAGAGCTGTGAAAGCAAGAATTTACAAGTGTAGTTGAATGTTAACATTTTCTAATGCAATGGAATGGAATCTTTCTAACCGCAAGAATGTTGACCTTGACATTTAAATGACCTTGAAACAGTGCCTTACCACATGTAGCCCACTTCATTTGATGTTTACCTCTAACCTAAACAGGTGTATAATTAAATATCCTAAACATGCTATGATAATCAAGAGAGGCCACACCAGTGATAACTTTTTAATAAAGGTTAAAGGAAACACCCCATGGTGCAATCTGGAATTCTTGTAGTTTAATGTAAAGTGGTTTCTCATTGACTGGTGAATATCTGCTGGAATTATTCAAGGTATGAATGAGTGAAATAAGGATGAATAAATATAGAAATAATGAATAAATATGGATAAACATTAATAAATAGAATGAACATTGGAATGATTGAATAAATGACAAAAAGAATAAATAAATCTTTAAGCGACATTGAGGTTTTTACCATGAAATAGTGTTGCATTATTTAATGAAAAAGAATGAATGAGCTAGAGAAGATACATTATTGAATTAAGCAAAAACCATAATGTTTCCTCAAGAAGGTTTAGGAGTTTTTAGCATTCATCACAAGTTATTATCAGATCTTAAATTTACGTCTTAAAACATAAATTTACTGCTTTATTGCTTAAAGATTTCATATTGAACCAAACTCTAAAGGAACTGAAACACTTGCATAGTAATCAAAAATACAGCAAGAACAGTTTTAGTGATGGTGTGGTTATATTTTATGTACAAAAACACTGTCAGTAATTCATTTCTTAACAAAATCAAAGCCATAAACATAAGAAAATAAAGGTAAAATGTGCTTTGATCTTGAGATTATTATAATTATTTATTTCTTACTTCCTTTTCTTTGAACTATTATTAGAGAAGGTTTTTTTTGACCAATTTGTGTTAGTCCTATCTATAAAGATTATCTGAAACTGTGTTTATATTTACTCTCACAAGCAACAAGATAAGATCTGGCCTCCACTCAAACCATTTTATTTCTATTCAAAAGGCCAAAGGTAAAATTGGTGGCCAAAAATACCTGAATATTGACGATGAAGGTCAAACAGATTCTTATCTTACCATATTCAAGAATGGATATTCTCAAAAACTTAACTTTTAGTGGTCCAGTCATCTGATTGGTCAAGCACTAAAACTGATTTTAAATTAAGCTTTATTAGCCAATCAAATTACTGTATTTCCTAAAATCTGAATTTTATCTAAATTAGGGTTTGTAGAATAAAACCCTGGATAGTTGGGTTTGATTACTGATTTGTAAAACCTAGAGATTTAGAACTTGTTTTCCTGACTTCCTGAACTGTGGAAATTAATAGTACCTATCTTATAAGAGTACATCTCAACTGTGTTAATTTCAACCCATGCTTCATAATGGTAACCATGGAAAAGGATTCTACTACAAAATGTCCACAAAAATAAAAATGTTAAGTCCACACTAATAGATATAGATTCCTTCAAGTATGTTTCTCTTGTTTCAGATGATAAACAATTTAAATGTTGATTAGTAAATGTCATCACTGTTTGCAGTTGGGAAAGCGGATTGAATTGTTTGCAAAGCACATATGCTTCAAGTTCAGATCCCTTAGAACAAGGTAAGTCAATATCAACATCCAATACATTCATGAGTTAGTCCAGCTCTAAACCTCTTATAATCATATAGATTGAAAAAATGGACCTTCGAGACACATGCAAACTTCTGAGGCCTGAGATCATCTGCCAATAAGGAATATGAACCGGATAAAAATTTCAATAATCCAAGGTAATATAAGTCCAATTCCATTGCTTTAAGGAGTTAGTCCAGCTCTAAACCCCTTCAAACTATATGTATTGGTCAGTGGACCAAAGAGTCAGATCCAAACTTCTACAAGCATGCTAATATATAGTAATCTGACAATGACAACACCTAAAGAATTAAAAGGAAGTTGGTATGAGATTTGATCTTCTGGTAATCTCTAACTATTTCAAATCAGGTATGGATTGATCGATTACTCTTTCTTCACGGAGTTTATATACTCATACATTATCACCCATATACAGATTAATAGTTCATAGTTAAAAGTAAATTTGTAAGGAAGGGTTTAAAATTCCTGCAGAACTATTATCTTGTACCAAGAATAAGTTCCACAAGATTCAATAAATACATTTACAGTATCACCCATCTACAGATTAATAGTTAGTACTACAGGTACTCTG